AATAAATCATTGGTCACTGGCTTGCTTTAAAGGATTTCAGAAATAATAGCGGAATAAGCTTGTTGCCATTACTCATGAACAAAGTTATGAATAATTTTCAATATATGACTGCTCTGTTTTCTAATTGACTGAACATGAGACAGATGAGTTTAAAATAGACATCAGTAATTCATTGCAAATCTGAGAGAAAATTTCTCAGGAATCTATGAAAATGTTATGGTCTATATCAGAAACTTTTTTTTCCCCATGTATATTTTTTGCTAATTTTTTCTCACAAGCTGGAATGGATTACAAAAGAGAAGGATCTAATCTTCATGTTTGAAGATCATCCTATCTGCACAGAAATAAAAAGATCTTTATATATTCAGGTTACCTGAAAATCCTGAGCCAGAGAAATCACTAAGCAAGAAAATTCTTTTAAATTAAAATTGGTTTCCAACACTAATTTTGACAATGATTCAGAAGAAAGACCTATGGAGATATTTTTGTCTCATTATATCTCTCTCAAAAAAACCCAAAATACCCCAAACAAAACACCAAACTGTAAAACACAAGCAACCAAAAAAACTAAGAAAACCCACACATGCCCACAGTTTACTCAGAGCTTTTCTAAGAGCTTGAAGGAAACCCTGGGAAATGCTGATTTACAGAATTTCTTGCCTATTTATGTTGTGGCTTCTCACAGAGATCTTTATTGCCATCACTGCAAGAGGTGCCCTGTGCTATTCCCAATGCCCATTATCACATTGCATTTCCCTTTCAGCAGAGTCTGATGAAACAGAACTGTTCCATGAACAGTTGTCAAAACACTGGCACATTCTAATTACAATACTTGCTATGTTTCTGTAAAGTCAAATTCTGAGCTCAATTGCACCAGAATAAACTAGACGCAATTAAAATCACTGGAGGCACCCCTGATTTGAAAGAAGGTAATTAAGATCAAAATCTAGCCCATGTAGTCTCAAGAAATACTGGAATGATGGGAATCAAAGAATCATTTGTCAAACAGAAAACATGCAGAAGACTCAGCAAAGCAGCTGGCCCTAAATGTGGTTTCATTTAATCTGTATCATATCCTTAAAAACAAATACATGAAGCACGTGGACTACTGAAATCCCTTTACACGTCTTAGTGGCATTGGCAAGCATTGTCTAGGAAGTGCTTGATGGAAATTAAATGAAACTGACTTCACCCTATCCTGTCCTCCTGGAACTATAAATTGTATTATGTGAAATTATTATTTGGAAGACATGCTGATATATAGCCCTTTCTATAGGGAATAGATGGTGTTAGACATAGGTAATAATATAGATTATAAGGTAGCATAGGCAGTCGAAAACAACAGGCAGTCCACAGCCTAAAGAATTTTTACATAGCAGCAAGTTCACGGTGTATGGGGAAAGGAGGCAGCCCTTTAATGCAACTTCAGGAGTGGTCTCAACTTTTAATTCTGCCCACTTCAATCAGGAAAGTGAAGGAAGGTGGTGGGATAATTCAGCAAGGGGTCCCTCCTCGATTTAATATGGAGAGCTAGGGAATGCAATCTGCTAGGCACAGGTGTTTGGCAGTCATCTGGTGGGATGTGGACAAGCAAGTAGGGAACTGTATTTTTTGGGCAGCTCTGACACAGGAAAAGCTGTGGAGACCCTGACAAAACTGAAAGCTACCTTTGCCAAAGTATAGAAACTAGAAAAGATGGGTAGGTGGTGTGCGTGGAGTCTCATTTATCTACAGGAGCTCTCAGTGCTTGGCTCATTCTGCAGCCTGGTTCTTAGAGATGGGAATCTCTAAGATGGGTTTAACAGGGCTTGGAAAGCTATCACACAATTTAATGCTACCATACATTATATATCAGCATACAATTTAAGCTTTTTAAGATTTAAGGCTACAAGCATTTGTGGAAAAGTTATCCCTGTCATTCATATGAGCTGCATCTAAACCCCTTCAGCTTCCCCTAGCCTGATTACTGTTGCCTATCCCATCCACCCACCTAAACAGCCAGTAAAAGGTCAGGGCAGCAGTTTCACAAGCCAGTAATCCTCTTCTGTGCCTCCAAATCTCTCAGAATTAGCTGAGAGTTGCTTCAAGCTGTAAAGCTCAAAGCCAGAGAGATCCAAAATGGATTTCCAAAAAAATGCTCAGACATAGTCTGAGCTTCCCAGCTTCAATTTCTTCCCACTTTTTATTCCACAGTTTAACCCACCCAAGCCATAATCTCTGAGTGACCAAACCAGGACCAGTTGAATCAGCTGAACACTATCTGCCCTTTTTTTCAGTTTGGGATTTAGAAGGGGGAAGATCTGATTGGCAGCAGACGCTGGGAAGAATGGAAGAATGGAAGAATGCCCTTTTCTCACACTACTTGCTTGTCTCCCTGTGCTGTAGTTGGCTATGATGCCTCACGTTCCTTGGTCCCGAGGATGCTCTTCCTCGCCTGCCTCTGGCACTAGAGGGCGCGGAGATCTGGGCTCCGGGATGGAAATAAAACTCTCCACAGCTTCCTAATTCGCCTTAAACTGAACTCAACTTTCAAAGAGGTCTTGATTTCACAGAAGAGGAATTGGCTTCGTTACTGCTGGTTTGTCTGAGTTCCCCACGCTGCATTGCTATGGAAACAGGACCAGAAAATAAGTCTTTTGCATGTAGGTCATGATATTAGTGGAGAAGAGAAAGCTGGGTGAACAGGTGAGTGGGTTACAGGAGTGAAGTGCGACAGAGCAACTTCCTGGGATTATATTAACAACAGTGAGTGATTTCATAGTAGGTGTCCTCAAAAGACTTTTGAATGAGACACCAAACGGGCTGAAAGAGCCAAGAATTTTGAGTAGCTGAGAACCATCACACACACACAGGGATTCAGCCCAGAGGTGACAACCAAAGTGGCAGTGGGCACTGGGCTGAACACCTAGGAAGAAAAGAAGTTTTGTTTATAGATTCTGATCCTAAAGGAAAGAGAAAGTGTATTCTGTGTAGCTTAGAGAGGTTTACAGATGAATCACCGAGAGCAGCTTGTGTCATAAACCACAAAGCTGGTGTGTATTCAGACAGGGGTTGTGTTTGCAAGTGATGCAATACCATAAAGGCAGACAGCATGCATACTTCTGCTCTCCTGTATTAACCTTCCTTATAATTTTTTGCTTCCTTCCTTCCTTAACCTTTTTTATAGTTTGTGGATTTGCTTTTCCCACCAAATAGCTGCACGAACAGGCAATCAAGCAGAGGTTAGACCTTCTTTTTTTGTCCTTGCCTTTTTCTTTCTGCAAAGAGAATATCTTCCTTAAGGGACAAGAACAAGCCAGTGTGTGCCAACACACTGGTTGATACATAAAAATGGGAATAGATGTCATTCTGGCTAGATTTGCAACAAGAATTTCCAGCTGGAAATAAAGTAATCTCCTTGCCCTGGGAGGAACTTTAGCAAATCAAAATCATAAGAATAAACTATCTTACAGGGGTGGGAAGAAGCGTCCCTTGTTCTTCACCCAGCAAAGGGGTAAGGGCTCACCCATGGGCCGGTGGATGAGTTACAAGCCCTCAGAGCTGGCAGTGGGCACAGCCATTCTCCAGGAGCACCTGGCATCAGGACCCTCCGGCTCGGCTGCCATACAGGGGACAAGCAAAGGAGCTCCCAACCTGCCTTTCCCCATCACCCTGGTGTTGGGGCAGCCGCCGAGCCTGCCACGGGGCAGGCTGGTGGGAAGGTGCAAAGCCAGGAGAAGTGCCCTAGCTGGAGGGATGGCCAGAATCGGCTTTTGCCCAAGAAGCAGAAAGCACTTTGTCCCTTCAGAGCCCCCGATACAGCCTTATTGTGGGGCTGCATCAGGACCTCGATACGCCAGCGCTGTTTCTGGGAGGTAATTTTTCTCCCACAGCTTGATCTGAGTTCCCTCTCAAAGTGTCAGCTCGCTGCTTCTGGCCCTAAGCACCCCATGGTGGCGGCACGGGCGAAAGGAAAGGGAGCCCGGAGGCACGGCCGGGACCGACTCAGCCCCGCCGGGCTCTCAGCCGTACCGGGTCAGAGGGACGAGCCGGCCCCGGCCCCGGAGCATCCTTTTCCGCAGTACCCTGCTTCCTGCTCCGGGGAGCGAAGCCCAGGGGCAAGGATGCGGGGAAGCGGGGCCGGAAACGAGCCGGGAAAGCCCAGACCCTTCCCACCTCCGGCGGCACCCCGAGCCCGAGCTCCCCTCCCCGAGCAGGACGCGAGAGATGAGGCAGCGGGAGCAGGAGGGGCTCCCGGGCACAGCAGGGATTCTGGGGCCGAGGGACCGCGCCGGCACAGCGGCACTCCCTCCCCGGTACCTCGCATCCCTCCTGGTCCCGCAGGGCAGGGATCCCGCCCGCCCCGTCCCTTCCTGCCCGCCCGACAGCGAGAGCGCACCGCTGGCGGGCTCCGCTCCCCGGGGACGACTCCGTTCCCCGCTGCCGGTGACATTTTGCAGGAGTCGACAAACATGTCACAGCGAGATTTGGGAACGGTAGCTCGGGGGATGAACCTGTGTCGGAATGTAGCTTTTGTAATAAACGCCCCTGTGTACAGCGCTTGAAAAATGTGAAGGTTTCTCTAAATCAGGCTTCTGTGTCTCTCCCGCTATACCATGATAGGCTCGGCTTTGGGATTAATATCGCAACTGAAAAGCAACAGAGAAGGGCTCTGTGCTGGGGACAATTGCTTTGCCTAATCTCCTCTCGTTGCCTCTCACCGGTGGCCCGCTCAGCTGTGACCCATTCAGCAAAAGTTTCCCTATGGTCTGTTCTGCTTCTTCTGCCAGGAAGCAAAAGCTCGTTTCTTAGACCTTATTTCCTTGGCGGGAGCTTTCCTATGACAGCAGCGGATGAAATCCTAGGTGCGGCAAAGAAGGGGCGGAGGGTAGAGGACGTGAAAGAAAAGCCAAGAGAGAAAAAAAAAAAAAAAAAAGACAAAAAAAAAGAAGATGGAAAGAAAAAAGGAAAAAAAAGGAGAGAGAGAGAGGAAACGTCAGTAAAAGCCAAAGCTTTCCTACCTGTGATCCAATTAGCCGAAGTTGCATCTCATCCCGCTGCAAGCGGCTCGCAGGAGCGGTGGCTGCGGAGCGGCCCCGGCTGTGGCGGCAGAGGCATGCGGGCTGCGCGCCGTCAGCGCCCGCAGCCAGCGGCTTTATCTTCCTCTTCCATATCTTCCACGAGGAGGGAGGGGGGTTGGGCTGGGGGAAATACAGATCACTTGGTACCGTGATAGTGGGCGGGAAAGAATAACAGGTTGGAAGCTCTAAAGAAGAGATGGCATTGTCCGGGCTGATGGAGTTTTTGTCTCTCGCTCCCTCTCGCCCTCCCACACCCACAGGCACACACATATACACACACACCCTCGGGAGTCGCTGCTTCAGTTCAGCCAAGCTGAGCTTTAAAAAAAAAAAAAAAAAAAAAAAAAAAAAAAAAATTAAAAGAAAATAAAGCAATAGTGCTATCGAGCCTGACTTAAAGGTTTAGACAAAACTGGAGTAATTAAAAACAGGTGAAGCCGGGACTCGTGAGTGAGCCGGTAATAATTTATACTTCCCCCAGAGCTCGTGGGGAAATGAGGTTAAGCTGCCGCCCTCGCTGGGCTGGTGGCGAGCGAGGGAAGCAGGGTGCCTAGGTGAGCATCTCGGGTGAATGTCCTTGTCGGGTGCTGCGGCTGTGGGTCCGCTCGCTGACCGCCCGGAGGGGTGTGCAGGGGTGTGCGATGTGTGTGAGCGCCAAGTGGGCTCGATTAGCTGCAATGGGAAGGCAATTTCTGCAGAGAACATTTACAATTTTCTTTCAATATGACAGGATTAGTTGCTGTTGAAGGCTCTCCTCCAATAAGGTCGCACTGCTCTCTGATTTGGTGGCTGTGCTGAATAGAAATTACTGGTTCTTGTTATCTCTCAACACACTCTCCCGTCTTCCTCATCAGGCACTCCCCTCTTTCTCATTACAAGTCTTTATCTATAATTTGCACATCAGAACCACTTTTTTTTTGTTTTTTCAATTACCTTCTCCCCATCTTTCCGTGCAATGCTGTCCTCTTTGGTGGTTTTTTTTGTTTGTTGTTTTTTTTTTTTTTTTTTTTTTTTTTTTTTCCAACTCCTTGATAGCTGTAAGTGTAAAAGTAATGTATGGGAGGAGAAAGAGTGAAAGAGATCTTGCTTTTAGATTATTGCAGTCACCAGAGACTCCGCACATTGTGGAAAAATGTTGTTACACTAAATCCAGTTCTGTTTCTTAAACCTGATTATTGTTCTGAAATTTTCATGGGGAGAGGTTTCCTTTGCACAATGACAAATAAATTAGGGAAAACAGATACATTCTGAGAACAAGAATTAATTCTTGTAGGGTGTAAAGAATTCCTCTTTAACTAACTAAGGTAAGAAGTGTTCACTTTGTTCAAGGAAACTTACCAGTTATATGGATGTAATCTATAATCTCTAAAAATCTTTAGGTTTTCTTTGTTTTTATTTGCCTTTCTCCTGGACCAGAACTGATTTGTGGTCTGAAGTTTGCTTTTTCCCTTGGGATAGGGCTGTCGGAGTGGGAACCAGGAGAGTGGAAACATCTCATCTATTGTCCAAAGAATAGTAGGGGGGAAGTGCTAAGTGCAGGAAAGAGAAGTGGACTTTATGAAGGCAATCCAGGCTTTTGGCTGCTGCCTCCCCTGCCCCATCTCTTGTCTTGAAAGACTGAAGGAGCCACAGCCCAACCACTCGCCTCCACTTCATTCCAACCTCTACTCCAAATATTTCTTGGCCTGAGATTGCTGCAGGAAGAGAGCTGTCTACACAACTGACATGTATGTAGCTGCTGCTCCTGGAAGACTCTTAGGGGTGGATTTACCCCAAAGAGGGTGCTGTGCCTTCAGGGTAGGGCTATTGCCTGGAAGTGTTCAAAGCCAGGCTGGATGGGGCTTTGAGCAACCTGATCTAGTGGAAGATGTCCCTGCCTCTGGCAGTGGGGTTGGAGCTAAATCTTTTATGTTCCTTACCACCAGCTAATTTGGAGATGGGGAGCTCTGAATTTTGGTGGTGCTTGTCCTTTAGTGTTACACAAGGCTGTGTTTCTTTACCTGAAAGCACTTTCACATGATTTAAGGGCTGTATTACTTTTAGCTCTTCAGGAAAATCAAGGCACCTGGGATCTGACTTCTGCCCCTTGGTTTCTCAGTTTTCACAGAAATTTTGCCTGGATTCCACAGTTGAGTTGGAAGACACCTATCCAGGCAACTCGGACAATATTTGGTATTGGGAGGCTGGAAGCATGCCATGAGCGCTCCACAGCCCCATGGGATTGATTGCTCGCTTCACTTCAAGTGCCAGGGCAGGGGACAGCCACCTCCACAGTCTAGGTGTCCCTTCCTTTGCCAGACAGAGCCTCAGCCCCGGCCGCCCCTGCACCTCCCACGGCTTGTCTCTCAGACCTTGGCACTTAACACACTTTAACATTCATTAATCAGGATGATCAGCAGCCTCAAAAGTCACAACGCCTGCTTCTTCTTCCCTTTATTATTATCATTACTGTTATTCTTTCCCTCCCAGCGAGTGTTTGATTGTGCACGTTCTGGAGATTTAATTAGAGTTCAGTGGCTGCGAGCACGAGTCAGCTCTTCCCACAGCCGCGAGCAGGGAGCGGGTGGCGTCCCTGCCCTGGGATGACCCCGGCAGTCTTGGGGTCTCCCCAGCCTGCCTTCCTGCACTGCAGAAAAGGACAGAGGTCCGGGGAATCGCTTCCAGCAGCACGGCTGGAGTGAAGGCAGGAGGTAGCTCCGAGCCGGCTCCACAGGAGCTGCAGGGGGCTCCCCAGTGCCACGCTGCTCAGCGCCGTGCGGTCGTCACGGACCGCAGGAGGGACATCCTCCGCCCCGCCAGCCTCGCCCGAGCGGGGAGCATCTCACTTCCTCGCAAGCACACCCCCGCGCCGTGATCTCCCAAGGAAATAAAAGCCCGGTCCTCAAAACCCCTGGCGTGTGACCCTCACCTCCGCCGTGCCTTGTCTGCCGCCCGCCCTGGGAGAGCGGAGATTCCCCCCCGGCGACCGACACGCGTGTGAGCAGCGCTGCCTTCCTGAGCCCGGCTCTTAATCAGTCTCGGCAGATACATCTTGATGGCACCCGGTGACTCCGTGGTAACTGGCACCTTTTAAGTTTGACAGAACATCCGTCATTACCGGCTCTCCTCTTTATAGATCTACGTGCTAGACACGCCTCCTAAGGGGAAAAAAAATGCCGCTTCTGAGCTTAAAATGATTAAAACACATCTCTCCCCCCCGATTCCCCCCTACTCCCCAGCCGCTCCCCGGCCCCTCGTCCGCGGCTCATGCAAGAGGGAGGGCGAGGGAGCCGAGTCATTTACAGTGTGCTAAACCGCAGTGGAGTTAAATTCTTCCTAGAACCACAGAACAAAGCACTCAGCCCTTCGCTGGGAGGAAACAAAAAGAAGGCTCGTGAGGAAGCGAGTATTTGCTCATGCTGAACTTCCCCTCCCGCACAGGGACCGGGAGTCGCTTCCGGGGAGCGCAGGCGAAGACAGCAACTTTCAGCGAGGCTATTCCAAAGGAAACCGCATCCATATCCAGAGACGCCCAGTGACCTCTAGTGAGACTTTGCTGGGGGCTCTCCTTGTTTTTGGCTACACGTGTCCCAAATGGCTCCTCCCGGCGTGGAGCTGCCTCGTTGGGGTTTGCTTCGGCAGGATGAGTCCCCTGTCCCCATGGATACATAGCTTGGGTGAAGAGGGAGGAGTGGTGTCCCCGGCAGCCACTTCCAAGGGGAGCTTTTCTATTGTATTTGTAGGGTGAGCTCCCTCTCTGATTCAGCTCTTATCTGCACCTGGGGGTCACAGAGATATCTGCAGGAATTCAAGGTTCCCTCAAGAGAGAGGGAGGCTACCAAGGGGCTGGGTGGGTGGTCCCCATGCTCCCACAGCACCTATTTCCCCCTTCTCGGGGGGGGGGGGGGGGGGGTCCCCTCTTCCTC